TCCCCCCCTTTTTTTTAACTGGAGTTGTAACGATGTAGTGTGGACAGAATGGTGGAGGTAAAATTAGACGATGACTTATCAACATAAACATTTTTAAGCTCACTACTTTTTAGAATTGGATAAAGAGGATTGGAGTTTAATTTTGTTGTTAGATACTGCCAAGTTGAGTACAACTTGTGTTTTTGTTGTTATGTGCTGTGGAGTCACCTGTGACCTGTAGCAACCCTAGGTGCAGCAGCTCTGAAGCCTGCCCTGTCCTGAGCCAGTCTCACTGACTCCAACACACCAACCCTTATTGCCCCACTTACTGTATCAGTCCATCTCATCTGGGGTCTTCATCTCCTGTGCTGTCCCTCCACACTTCGGAGCATTAGGTCCTTCTCCAAGAACCAGTCCCTCCTTACTGCATGCCAAAAATAAGAGAAGGAACTTCAAAATCCTAGACTCCAAGGGGAAACTTAGTTTCACCCTCTCCAAGACAGACCTGTTTGTTTCTTGACAGTCCATGGCGTATTCAAGACTCTTCTCCAGCACCACAACTTAAAGGCATCAGTTCTTCTTCTGCCTAATTCTTCTTTTGCCCTAGTTAGTCACTGTCCAGCTTTCTGATGCATAGCATGTAATGGCGAAGAGCAAGGCTCTAGACTGACATCATTGTTTCTCACTTCTCTGGAGAGGTACCTGACAGCAGATTTTCCCAGTGCAGTTCTGCAGTTCATAGTTTGATTTCCTGACTATTGGTTCCAAGAGTGTTGATTGTGGAGCCAACCAAGTTGTAACTGTTAAACTCAGTTTCTTCTCTATCATGGTGCTGCCGGTTGGCCCAGTGGTGAGCAATCTTTGTCTTCTTGATACTGAGCTTCAATCCATATTGAAGACTACAATCCTTGACCTTATGCAGCAAGTGCTTCAAGTCCTCCTCAGTTTCAGCAAGCAAGGTTATGTCTTAATAATCTTATAAAGAATGATAAAACACCCCCCTAGTGAAATACTAGTTAAGCTCTATAGGTTTGCTGTGAATTGTAATTGGCTCAATGATAACAGATTAGTAGGTTGGTAATGAAAAAGAAAATGTATCCTTACACGGAATTCCTTTTTCAATTCTTTTTTAAAAGTTGAGAGGCAGTTTTAGGAAAAAAATTACTTGTTCTACTCTTAAAAATGTAAATATAAAGCTTTATAGTACCAAATAAGTTCTCTCCTCTGTGATTTTTTTTTTAAATTATAAACTATCTCCCAAGGTGTCTTTTTTTCTTCTCCTAAAGCAGATGGTCAGCATACTTTTTATACATGGTCAAAATTCAATCCAAATGCCTTATAGAGTTGTATTGTCTCTGTTGTAACTATTCAACAGCACATAACTGTACAATGAAAGCCATTATAGTTATTATATAAGTGTGTGAGCATAGCTGTGTTACAGTTGAATTTTATTTATGGTGAGTGAATTTCATGTAATTTTCTCATGCATAAAACTCCATATCATTCCTAGCTCATTGGTAATAATAAAATAATTGATGCACGTGTTTAAGCCTTCTGACTGGAGTTTGTTGATCCCTATCCTAATGTTGCTTTGTATAAATTTGAAAGTTGTACAGTAAAGAAGTTTTAAGAAGAATTGAACCCTTGAATTTTGATGTTATGAATATTATTGAATATATACATTCCATGGATTACCGAAAGAACAAACAAATCTGTCTTAGAGGAATTGCCATCATCTTCTTTTCTGAGATTTATCATAAGATATACAGATATTAATTAAAGGTTATTTCCAGTTAATCTTAGCAAAAATTAAGATGATACTTTTTGTCACTTTGTTTTAGACCTACTTTTCCATAATGTCACCTATATTTATCTTATTGACTGTGTAAAAAAATGGGCATAAGACTGCTAACTAACCTTGGGAAAGATTGTGTGTAAAGTTTGCTGTTTGCCAGTGTCTACATATTCAGATTATAGGAACATTCCCACTGTTACTTAACCAAAAGGATGTCTTATGTACCAAATGACGCAGTGACTATAGCAGTGGGCTGGAACGTTGTAGAGATTGTGAGGATAGAGCATGATAGGGTATAATATTGATAGATATAGAATCACTCTGTTGATCATACAGTTTCTATGACTCATAGTTGACGTAACAGCACCTAAAGCAATCCCAAAGGCACATGGTTCAAATTCACCAGCTGCTCTGCAGGGGAAGGATGGGCAGTCTCTTCGCTTATGATTAACTGCTTCTGAAAACACACCCGCTGGAAGGTCAGCTATGGATCGGTTCCAGCTGGTTAGTACTCAGCAACAACAGCAACACTGCTAAGTGTTTCTTAAAGAATATCGTGTATAGTAAAAGCCTGACTTCCTTCTTAGAATGTGGAATTTTAGTGTGTAGTAAGCAGGGATTGTGTATATGACCGCTACCTAATATAATTCTGAGTGTTCAGTATTTCAGGACCTTCCCTCATAGTCAGAATTTCACATATCACCACTATTTGATGCTGAAGGAATTTATCAAACTACAAGGAGATGATTCTGGAAAAGTTGCTAACTTCTTTTTTTTGTTCTGTACTTCACTCCATGCACCTTTTCACGGTGTCTGTTTCACTTTAGGGATCTCTGGTGGCTCAGTGGTAAGGAACTGCACTGCCAACCTAAAGGCTTACAGTTCGTGTTTACCAGCTGCTCTGTAAAAGAAAGATGGGCTTTATATCTTGTTAATAAATCATAGCTCTGAGTATGTCTGTAGGCTGGTTCTTTGAGTCTTCCTAGTAAATTATCAGTTTCGATTGATCTTTGGGACCGCTAACATGTTATTGTGTTAAGGTGTCATTGATTGGGCTCTGACTTTTACTGACGACCTGTACAACAGAACAAAACTGAGCTCAATCCCGCCATGTGCTCAGTCTCTACTGTACTCAAGCATGTTATTGCAGTTGCTGCACCATTTCTTAAAGATATTTTTTTCTTTCCCTGAAGATCATCAAATTTTCCAAGTATGCTGTTTTTTGTTAGAGCTTGGCACTTCCTAATAACATGCACATAGTCTTACCACTGTTGCCCCAAAATGCACTCTGGCTGTACTTCTCCCATTATAGATTTGTTTCGGTTTTTTTAAAATCCATAGTATATTTAGTATCCTTCAAAAAACCAGAATCCAAAGGCATCAATTCTTCATTAATTGTCCAACTTTCACTTCAGGTGAAGCAATTGAAAATATGTCTTGGGTCAGGCTCACCTTTGTCTTTAAACTGATATCTTTGTTGTTTAGAACTTTCCAAAGGTCCTGAGGAGCAGATTTGCCTAGTGCAAGACATTGTTTAGTATCTTAACTAGTTCTTTCATAGATGTTGATTGTGTATGCAGTAAAATGCTATTCTTAACAAAGTCACTCTCTTCTCCACTTATCATGGTACTGTTGCTTATTGGTCCAGTTGTAAGGATTTTTGTTTATGTCGAGCCATAATGAAGGCTATATATAGTTTTTTATCTTTTTGATGAAATGCTTTAAACACTATTCACTTTCAGGTATAACGCTGTATCATCTGTATATTTCAGGCTGTTGATGAGTTTTCCTCCAATCCTGATGCCACATTCTTCTTTTTACAGCTTTTCAGATTATCTACTCAATTCACATACAGATTGATTAGGAATGCAAAAGGACACAACTTGACATAAATCCTTCCTGATTTCAGAGAACAGTAACAAGAAGACAAAGTATTGAATGAAATGTACAAAGAACTAAAGTTAGAAAACCAAAAAGATAGAACACAATTGGCATTTCCGAGCTAAAAGAACTGAAGCGGGGAAATCAGCTTCGATTTGCAATACTGCAAGATTCAATGAGTAGAATAGTAAATGGTTTGAGAAGTATCAAATAAAATGGAAGGAATACACAGAGATTCTACCAGAAAGAATTGATCAATGCTGAACTATTATAGGAAGTAGTATATGACCACTAACCGTGATGCTGAAGGAAGAAGCCCAGCCTACACTGAAGACATTGGCATATAATGACTCCAAGAATTGACAGAATATCAATTTGGGTGTTTCAGCAGATAGATGCAGGCCTAGACATACTCACATATCTATGCCAAAAAATTTAGAAGACCTGGCCATCTAACTAGAAGAGATCCTTATTTGTGTATCACATCTCTGCTGTCCAATGTAGTCTATTCCTAACTACCTTCCTTTGATTTCTACCTCTTCCAGCCTTTCTTATGCAATAGCGTTTATTCAGTTTGTAAATTTATTTACTTGTTTTCATGATTTTTAATGTATCATTTGGTGTTAAGCTGACCACATCAACTGGGACTTAGAATCATTTAAGCTATGCTGTTGTCTATAGTATAGTTGTCATTTAATAGCAGAGAAATTAAAAGTATTTTTAATTTATCCAGAATCTCTATACAGCTACTGCTCCCAGTACGCCTCTTTACTATGACAATACAGAAACACTTTCCCTAAGCCAGCTATTTTATGATTAAGTGCCTCCTTTTCCTCTTCTTGGAATGTCATTGCTTTTGTTCCAAGCTGGCAGATTGATACTGATCTGTTTAAGACTTTTTTCTTCTTAAATTTTTACTGTTTCTAGGTAGGTTAATAGTTCCCTAATACTGCTTCCAGAGCACTGTACACAATTCTTTTTTTTTATCACAGTGTACTTGTTATATTGGTCTGCTCCCTTTTTTAGACCGTGAAATTCTTGAAGACCAAGACCAGATCTTGTTTGATTTAGTACAAGAGTCTGGCAATCAGTAGATGATGTTCTGTGGCACAGAAAGCTTTCGAAGAGTAGATATATCTTCTGGTTGACAATGTTAGTCAAGAAGGAAGATGTGAGACTATTTGTTTTCTCAAAAGTTTCATAGAATTTTATAGCTTAACCTAAGAATATCTAGATTAGAACACAATTCTTTATAAAATTGATATTTTGGCAAAAAACAATTATTATTTGTAATCTTTTTGTCTTCTTCTACTATGGAGCCTCATTATATTATTCTTTTACATAGGTGGAAATGGATATTGTTGAAAAACTGGTAAAAATGATACCTTGTGAGCATGAAGATCTTCTGAATATCACCCTCCGGCTTTTACTGAATCTTTCCTTTGACACAGGACTAAGAAATAAGATGGTACAAGTTGGACTGCTGCCCAAACTCACTGCGCTTTTAGGTATGGTTTTTAAATGATGATGATGATGTTGCTTAGACTTTTCACCCCTAGTAGGAAATGGAGATGTGTGTGCTTTCATTATGACTGTCAGAACTGAATAATAAAAATTAACAGAATAAGTGAATGAAAAATTATCTGTACTGCAATTTTTATGATAGTATGAAATGAAGTGAAATAGATACTTAGAACTCTTTGGTTTCATTTACCTGTGTTGATCCAAAGTGACAGTTCACAGATACTCCTCAGAAAACAAGACAAAAAAAATTCCTTTTTTTCATTGTATTTTTTGAAAAGCAAATGTCATTTGTATGATAATATTCTACCACACTTGCAAAAACCGTTTATAAGTACATAAATTTTTGGACCCTTTTAAAAGAAATCAGAGTTAACTTTAAAAAAGAAATTATTGGATGGAATGAGTTACAGGAGAGTAACAGGATCTCTGTCACTAGAAGGGTGCTTTGGTAACATAGTCTGTAGAGAGCTGAGCTGCTAAGCCAGCAGCTGTACCTACTGGCCAATTGGATCCACCAGTGATTCTGCAGGTTAAAGATGGGAGCCTCCTGTGTAATTTACAGTCTTGAAAACACAATGGCAGATCAGTTATGCACTGATTTTTTTTTACTCAACAGCAGTGAAATGGGTTCCCTTTAGAATTAATTCAAGATTTAACTCTTCTGTGTACCTATGTTGACCATCTTAGCGGGTCCCCTGGTGTCACCATGCTAATCCAAAGGTTGGCAGTTTGAATCCCGCAGCAGCTCAAAGTGAGAAAGATGCACAATGTTCTGTGAAGTGTTATCGCCTTAGAAAACCAGTTGATTGTTGAAAAGTGTCAGAATCAAATTGATGGTTGGGAGATTTTAGAGGATGTGTACGTTTATACATTCTTGCCACTCCCCAATATTTACTTTATGCTATGGCCATCTCAAATCCCTAAGTTGTGTAAATGGTTAGTTAGTGCCTTCTACTGCTAACCACAGGGTTAGGAGATTGAATATGTCAGAGATGCCTAGGAAGAAAGACTTGGTGATCTTCTGAAAAATCAATCATTGACAATCCCTTGTATAACCGCTCTGCCACACATGGTGTTATGATAAGTTGAAGTTGATTCTCTGGCATCTGCATTTCTTTGGATGACCATACCAAAATCTTTGCCACCCTTCAAACAGTGTCTCTTATCCCCAAGCCCTAAGCGCCTTTGCCTGCTTTTACCTCTATCTAGAACATAGTTTCCTTTCTTAACTAGAAAACAAAATTTTATTCATCTTTTTTTAATTTTATGCCAGTTTGCTTACAAGGCCCGTATACACTGTGTTTTACACTATTCTTTATTCACATTGTGTTTCATACAATTGTTCCATATATTGTGTTTTATAAAATAAATCACCATTTGACTGTGCCCATTATTACCCAGTCTTTTCAGGTCCCCACCAAATCATTCATTTCCTTCATCACCTCCACCCACCCACGAAATTGTACAACACTGTGGTTTCTCCCTACCCATCCTCACCCCTCTTCTCTCACCTCTTCTCCCTTTGGTCCCCGTACATGTTTTACTAGTTATCCTTCTATTTTTACAATAATGATTTTTATGCAGTATTTGTCCTTATGAGACTGAGTTAGTTCACTCAGCATAATGCTCATCTTTGAAAACTTTTGTTTCTTTGCTTCATTCCTGCAGTTTCATTCTTCTGGCATTTTTTTGTTTGTTCTTGTTTCAGTTTTTTCCATGTAGTCAATATTTTAGGTCACCAATTGCAGTTTGTTCTTAAGCTGTGAAATGATTTAAAATTAAGTTTATTCTTAGCAGTTCCTTATATGTTAAACTATTAATTATCTCATTGGCATCATCATTTTTGTCTTTATCAATTGGTTTACATTTCTTGATTTTTTCCCATGTGCTTGATATACATTATCTTATGGCATCCCCATCTGAGAGAACTGATCTACATTACTGAGGATTAAACAAATGATAAGATAGTAAAGCTCAAACTGAGATGTCTGCTGCCAGAGTTTGATTTATTAGCTTCTACATGTTTAAGTAGATGAAACAGATATGTAAGTGAAAAACCCAGGCCTCCAAACTTCCTCAAAATAAATAATGAACACTGCATTGGAACAGATGAAGGAAAGAACTGTTTAAAAGGAATATATGATTAGGCATTAATTGTATAACAACAGTCCAGAATAAGAGGTACATAGCAAAGTGAACTGGGGGATGAGTGAGGGAGGATGGGAGGAAATTGCAACTATGAATGAATGTGTGTGTGTGTGTATGTGTGTGTGTGTGTGTGTGTGTGTGTGTGCGCGCGCGCGTGCTCACTTATTTATTTAAAGTGAATTGGAGGGAAGAGAGGAAAATGCATAATGATGAATGAATGAAAATCCATCTTCTCTGTAAACTTTTGTTAAAATCACAGTTTTAGAAAAATGGAGATAAGAAAATAAAAGACAACTTCAAAATACTAAAAAAAATGTACATTACTCTTTTTGTAAGAATAGAAAAAGTCCATTGTTAGTACAAGAACATTTAATCTATTGGTCATTTCACAAATATTGGCTGTTGTTAGGTGCCATTGAGTTGGCTAGGACTCATAGCAACCCTGTGAACAATGCATCTGTCCATCTGTCCCTGCCCTATCCTGTGTCATCCTCACCATCTCTGATATACTTGAGCTCATAGGGCTTTTATTAAACAGGAGCCCTGATGACACTCTAGGGTAAGCATTGAGCTGCTTACCAAAAGGTTAGTGTTTTGAACTAACTTTGTGGGAGAAGTATGAAGCATCTGCTCCCATAAAGATTTATAGCCTCACAAAGTTTATGAAGCAGTTCTACAGTCTTACAAATTCTACTCGATCTTCCAGGGTCACTAGGATTAGGAACTGACTTGACTTGAATTTCAGTTTGGGAATTTATGAAACATTTTAATAGGTAAAGTACTCAGAAGCACTTTCAGAACTTGCTTTGGGTGGATCAAAGCACTGAAAAGAATTTGGAAGGAATGGCAAACTTTAAAATTGATGAGCCTTGGATTTCATTCAATTTAGTATATCTTTTGAAATTATGTGTCAAACATAAGGTCAGATTCTCGATGTATGAAGTTTAATATTATGGACCTTTTCCTGAAAGAATTCATAGTCTAATCCGTTGTTTAAAGTCCAGTCATTAAACTTTAAAAAATATTTACCTAGTAAGATGCACTGAAAAATTATTTACTTTTTTCAACAACTTGCATTATAACTAATTTCTGTTAACAAATAGTGAATTTTTTGATCTAAAACTTCATGTTCAATACTTAAATTAATATTTGCTTTTGATTCTTTAACTCAGTCTCTGAAGTCAAATAGTCTTACAGTTGTACCTTTGTTTACTTTTAATGATGTTGGACAGGTTGTTGAAATTCTCTGTGACTTGGTTTTCCTTTTCTCTGAAGTGAGGATCATTATTATAATAAATTTAGAGTTCCTTTGAGCATTAAGTGGGGTATTACTTTAAAATACATAGAATAATACCTGGAACATGCTATTTTCTCAATAAATGTTAGTTTTTTATTATCATTATTATTCTCAGTGTTCCTCATTGTTCTCTGAATATAAATGTTTTTCTCACAGATATTAAATCTTTGTTCTGAAAGTAGGTACTTTTTTTTGCTTCCATGCAGTTTGTGTGTTCAGTTCAATTCAATTGAATAAAACATTCACCTACTAAATACCAAGATAGCGTATTATAGGGAAGTATTTTCAGTATGTAGCTTTATTGGAATTCAAAAAAGAACATTCTCACATCAGCAGGGATATAATTAGAAAGTTCTTTATAGTGAAAGTAACATTTGAGATCCTTAACAAAAAAAGAAATAAAGAGTCTGTATGAAGTACCAGAATTACTTACAGCAGGGATGAAGTTTGGCTAGAATGAAGACAAAATAAGTTTTGTTTTATGTGCTATTGTTGTTGTTGTATACCATTGAGTCTGGACCCATAGCTAACCCTGATTCAAAAGCAGTTTTCAGAGGCAATTAACCTCAATCGCGTGGGAGGAGAGTGCCCATTCTTCTTCCATGGAGCCTGGATTTGAACCACATGCCTTCAAGATTGCAAGGCTACTTCTGGCTACTAGGCCACCAGAGAAGGTTAATATTTTGCTCAGGATGTTCATACTTTTTAATTGAGTGAGCCATATATTAGAGCTTTGCTATAGAGAAATTAATCAAATTTTATTAATAAATTGAATTAATAAAAATAAAATTAGTAAGAATGATAGTGTTATATT